TCATAATTTCAAATTAGGATCAACAAGAAATAATAAAAAAAAAATGGCAAAAGCTATGGAGGTTTGGGTGGGAGAGATGAAGAAGATGAGTGAGAAGATAAACCCTAGAAACCCATTGATGCAAAGGAAGAAGAGTACATCTTCTGTTGTGTCCAAACAACAGCAAGGAGAAGAAGAAAGAGGACTCAAACAAAAGAAAAGAGAGAAAGATGAAACTATGTCCGAGCTCACTGTATGCCTTCTCATGGACCGTTTTGTTCCATGGTGATCCTTCATTAATATTCACTACTTTGAGATCTCCCCTTTGGTGTGATGTGTATATTTAGAACTTCATGTATATATGTTCTCTGTGCAGAGCATGTTCTTGAATTTCCCTGTAAATCTATGAAAGCAATGTGAACAATATTTTGTAATTTTTTTTTTTTTGGGGTTAAAATATTTTGTTTTATTCAATAAAAAATGTTCAATTATTAAGCCAGGAATCATATGAAGATACAACTCTCTATCCACTATGAACATTTACAGGACACACCATTCTAAAAAAAACAAGAAATGATGAGTGGTGAAACCAAAAACAAATTTCTCGGACGTGTGTGAAAAATGTTGGTGTTGGGCATGGATAGATTTTAAGGCCTAGTTAGCTAAATGGACTAGGTCATAAGCCCATTGGATGATTCAAATGCCAAACGAAAGAGAACGGGAGAACAATTAGGGGAATCAAATGGATTTAATGAAAAGTCAATCAACACAAATGCCAAGAGGAACGGGGAGAGCAAAAGACCCTCAACAATACACTGATCTTTTAGCATAAATTTTTTGGTTAATTAGTGAAATAACATGTTTGAACCCATGTGAATTAGTTAAGTAACATATACAGATTATAAATTTGTTAATTAACAAATAAAAAATAAAATGACACTATTTTACGCTTTATAACATTCAATGAGAATTATCACATTTAATGTATATTTAATGCAGATTTGTTTTGTAATAAAAAGAGAAATATCATTATTTTTTTAGATATAAACTTTAAATTGATATATATAATTTTGTTTTTGTATTTTACGTTTTTTCAAAAAAACCATGTTTCTTTAAGTTTAATAATAATTGATTATTATTTAAATAGATTAACTATATAGGGAACTATATCACAAATTAAATACTATAGACATATTCACTATTTAATTAAAAAATAGTGAACTTTATTTTTAATATAATTAACTACATGTTTGATATAGTGAATTATTTAATTATATAAATAATAGTAAACTATTTGTGAATATAACAAGTATAACTGATTTTCAGTGAATAAAATTAACTATATAGATAACTATTTATTTATATATAGCCAACTACACATGGATATATAACCAACTACATTTAAACGAGTTATTTATATTTTTAGTTATATAGATAATAGTGAACTATTCGTGGATATTACTCATATAGCTGACTATTTGTGAAAATAATTATTTATATAGAGAACTATATTTGGATATATAGTTAACTACACATAGATATATAACTAACTATATTTAATAATTAACTACATATACAGATAATTATATTTGGATTCATAGTTAATTACATATATAAATATATAATAGATAGAAATGAAAGGTCTAAATGTTTCTGATATTGGTTTTTTTCTTTCTCCTAATAGTGTAAAAAAAATTGATATAGGAAAAAGAATGTAATAAATAAAATAATTATGAAAAAGAGATATGAAAACACTTACCATAAATATATTAAGGGTATAATTGGAATATCTCATAATTAGAATGTTAGTTACTATATTTTATTTTATGTGATATTAGATAATTAAATATATGACCAATAACTAAACGGGAGGATTGGTTTAATATTTCAAAAATTTTATAAAATTTGAAAACTAACCTTTGTTTTGAAATTTTTGAAAAATAACCTTTTTGTTGAATGAAAAGACACAAATATCCTGATTAATTTTGAAACATTTAAAATTAAAAGAAAATTTATTTTCGAAATTAATCTTAATTTGTTTATTTAAAATAGAAGCTCTGTTTTTAAGAAGGAGAAAAACTCACTTTTGACTCTGAAGATTGAAAAAAACGAAACTAGTTATTCTCCTCTATATAGAATTTCTAAAAATTCAAATTTAACCAAAAATCTTCTAGTTTCAGAATTAAGATTATTATTTTTTGTTAGAAAATCTTAGGCATAACTTAATTATATGAGGAATCAAATCTCATATTCTTTTTTTCTACATATGCCCTTTTCTAATGATTATTTATATGTTGACAAAAAAAGTTGATT